GATTGACCCATAGCAGCGGGTTGGGTTCTGTTGGCAGTCTAGATCTATACCTGAACCCGCAGATTTATTTACTTAAGGACCTAAATATACTTTTTGATTGACCCATAGCAGCGGGTTGGGTTCTGTTGGCAGTCTAGATCTATACCTGAACCCGCAGATTTATTTACTTAAGGACCTAAATATACTTTTTGATTGACCCATAGCAGCGGGTTGGGTTCTGTTGGCAGTCTAGATCTATACCTGAACCCGCAGATTTATTTACTTAAGGACCTAAATATACTTTTTGATTGACCCATAGCAGCGGGTTGGGTTCTGTTGGCAGTCTAGACCTATACCTTGAACCCGCAGGGGGTAAAATATGAAAAAAAATTATCCAATAACACCCCCGTTAAACCCCGTTCCCATGACCCATGCTGGTTCGAGAACTCATTGAAGTTTATCCTGCTATACACCTTTAAACCAAATTTTATCAAAATCGGAAAAAAATACTCAATGCAATAGCTACTTCCCTATAGGGAAATTCGCTAAAAGCAGGAGTGTAGTATAAGAGTTAAATTTATGAAAAGTAATTTATTAAAATATTGAAAATAAAACAATAAAACATACAAAATTGTAAGCCAAAACAATATGAATTAAAAATCTATATCATAACATTTAAAGCGGAGTCAATATTTTCATAGTCCAGTAACCAGCTGTTGTAAATACAACACAACAGCTGTTACCACGTTTCTATTATTCGTGGTTACAACCATTGAGATATAGACATTATATAGATTATAACTGGAGTCACTACTCTCTGGTTAAATATTAGAGAAAAACGTGCCACTGTTTTTGCTTGTTTGTTTTCGGCGTTTCGTGTTGTTAGGTTGGCCGTGTGATCGGTTGGTGGGATGCTGTCAAATTCCAATTCAACCTGGCTGGCATCATAATATTCATTATTTGAGGTTAGGCCTATCCGTTATTTCAAGGACTTAAATCATAAACTTATTTAGGTTATTGCACGTTAAAACCTGTGCATTTAAAGTTATTTTGAAACATTATAAATTGTTTTTGATAGTAAATAAATGGGCTACTAACTTATTTACCTATTTTCAAGCTATGTGGTGAAAATAGGCTAGTCAAGTTTCCTGGTTTGGAGATATTGGTTTAGTCTTATTTATTTATTTATTTATTTATTGAACACCAACGGCAAACACCATTTTACATTAAGTCGCTACAAATAGGAAAATAGCTAAACAATATTTAAAACTAATTATTACATGGCAAAACAATGGGTATAGATGTTACAGAAAAATAACAATGTATAAAATATATAACAATAACAAAATATAACAATAACAAAAGATAACAATGAGTATATCAATACAAGAATACAAACACAATAGATCACAAAATTAACAAGAGAAAAATCAACAACAAAGGAACAAAACAACAGTGCTTTTACGGGGTACCCTCAAGGATGCTGTCAGCTGCAGAACGCCGAACCACTCCCAAGGAGGCAGTAAGAAGGTCAACAGAGCTGCTTATCACATTCCCGAGGCGCATAATCCGGGGAATGGGACTGGATCTGGCGTAGTTAGTCCCAGTATGGTCGAGTTCAAATACACGCTGATGCCTCGTGATTCTCGAAGGAACATGGAAGTTTATCCTTTCCAGCAAGAAGGGGCAGTTGACTTGGTTATTTACCAGTTTGTAGAGAAAGGTCACATCAGCCACTCGCCTTCTGTTTTCAAGACTCGGAATGCCATACATATTAGAGAGCTCGTCAACCCGGACATCACGATAGTCAAGTCCAGCACGACATCCCAGGAACCTGATGAAGCGTCTTTGTACCGACTGAAGATGGTAAATATGGCCAAGATGGTATGGTGACCAAACCAAGGAAGCATACTCGAGTAGCTGCAGGATGAGAGACTTGTACAGGATAATACAGGCATGGTTGCTCAATCCATGTCTAGCAGAGCGGGAAACCATCCGAGCATACGAGAGGCCCTGGTGCAGATTTGGTTTATGTGGGGTCCAAACTCGAAGGAGGAGTCAATTAGAACACCAAGATCCTTGATGGTATTGCATCTCTCAACCCGGTTACCATCAAGAGAGTAGTCAGCTAACACTGTATTTAATTTCCTGCTGAACGTGATCAATTTGGTTTTTGTGGGATTCACAGCCATGTCATTGGAGAGGCACCAGCCAAATACGTCATCGAGGGCGTCCTGCAAGGACTGGCAGTCATGATGGGATGCAACTTCAACGAGTAGCTTAATGTCATCCGCAAATAGAAGAAATGGGACTTTGATGACCTTCTTGATGTCATTAATAAAGATGGAAAACAAGAACGGTCCAAGATGAGACCCCTGAGGAACACCAGAACTTGCAGCGAAGAAAGAAGAGACTTCAGAACCAAGGCGTACAGCAAGCCGTCGATTGGTAAGGTAGCTCTTAAACCATTGTAGAATCCTTCCAGCGAACCCATAGCCTTGGAGCTTTGCAAGCAGATGGCTATGATTTATCTTGTCAAAAGCTTTACTAAAGTCAATGTAAATGGCGTCAACTTGATATCTTCGACCAAAGGCTTCCAACACCAGACACTGGAGGGATAAAAGATTCGTCACAGTGGAGCGACCGGAGGTAAAGCCATGCTGCTCATCAATTATGATATGTTTTCAAAATAAAGGCTGTACTATGTCTAAAATAAGCCCTTCAAAAACTTTACTGAGGACGGACTGGATTACTATGGGCCTGTAATTTGTAACATCACAACGATCACCGGCTTTGAAGATTGGAACCACATGACCATATTTCAGTGTGGAGGGAAATGTGCCTGTAGACAAACTGAGGTTAAATAGGAAATGGAGCTGATGTACCAGCTCAGAGTGGCAGAATTTGAGTACTCCTGGTGTGATGTTGTCAGGTCCACTACCCTTGGTGGGGTCCAAGTGAAGAAGCTTCTTATTGATATCTTCTAGGGAGATAGCACATTCTGAGATGGTGAATGGAGTATCAAATGAAGGTACTGGCAGCTCATCAAGGGACGCATGAGAGTAGACGGATGAGAAATATTCAGCAAACAGCTCACACATCTCATGTGGGTGGGAAACCTCAGTTGGACCATGTTTAAGGGAAACATGGCATGGAAGATGTTCGATTGAGATTCTTCACAAAACTCCAGAAGATCTTGACATTAGTGGAAATGGTAGTATTAACATGGTTGACGTAGCTCAAGCGACAATCCCTGGAAACAGCCCTGCATCGGTCCCTAATGACGCTAAAGTTGTGGTAGTCAATCATGTTGAGAGATATCTTATATTTCTTGTGAAGCGTCTTCTTGAGAATAACAAGTTCCCTAAGCTCTTTGGAGAACCATTTTGGAAAGACGGAAGGACTGACAGACTTCCAAGGAGAGTGAGATTTGATGAGTTCGCCGAGTTGACTGCAAAAAGTGGAGAATTGAAGATTAACGTCGCTGCAATCATAGTCGAGCTGAATGGCTCCGTCCTGGAGGTCAATTTTAACCTTTTCAATGTCACATCTTCGAATGTTCCTGATGAAAGTATGGTGCTTTGGACGCTCGATCGATGGTTCAGGGATATCTGCAGAAACATACAAGCTAGGATGGCAGGGTTCTTGGGCAAGGAGGGGCTCATTAGCATGTGACACGGTAAAGACGTCGGATGACCCAAAGATCAAGTCCAGCTGAACTCCTCTATCATTCACCACATCACTAATCTGATTGACACCAAGATGTGCAGCCAAGTCCAAAATTATGTTCACCGGTGGAGTAGCAGTTGACAGTTCGGGGTGGATCCAGTTGAAGCCAGGTAGATTGAAGTCCCCAGCAATTAGTATGTGGTCATAGTTGTGGTAGACGGACAATACTTCCACTAGTGACTCAGCAAACAGAGAGTAGAGTCTTGTTTGAGCTTGAGGAGGGATATAGGCTGCACAGACAACTATCTTGCAGCTGGCTGTAAGTTTAACAAGAACACACAGTGCCTCCACTGGTAAATCGGGCTGTACGATTTCGGATGAAAAAATAGTCTTGTGGACGGCAATCAGAACACCCCCACCATCCTGCTTGCTACTAGTTTGGGGCGAACGATCCTTTCGGTAGACAACGTATCCATCAAAGCCAAGCTCTGAAGAAGTAATTGTGGGATTAAATGTCTTGGGTTTAGCCCTATGGCATTTGATAAAGAACGACCATCGGTTTACGATCTTGTTAAAATGGGTTGCTCTTGCTCGTAAAATAAATAATTAAACTTATATTGCAATCATAATGTTGACATATTTTTGTTTGCTATCAACAAGACAATAGGAATCGGATGACGCCATCTTGATCTTGCCTCTAATTTGACAAATCCCACCAACCGATCACCTGGCCAACCTAACAACATGAAGCTCTGAAACAAAACCATCAAAAACAGTGGTACGTTTTTAAAACACAGAGTGGTTACTCCAGTTATATTATTATAGCTCAGTGGTTACAACCACAACCACGATTACAACCATACTTGCGTTGCGACGTTGCCACTTCGAAGGCCGCGGCTTGGAGCACAGCCACCTCTAATACGTATTAGAGGTGGCTGTGCTTGGAGTAAAGGTGGCCGTGAATAAACGCGTTTCTTTGATGCCGATCCGAGATCGAAGTGTAAGAAGAGATAGAGTATTCAAAACTTATATTTAATTATTGTTTTTTTTTAACAAAATTGCAATACCTATTCGTTAAGAAAATATGCGATGCAAACAACCGATGGCATATAATGCCATATTGATTATGTCGGGTGGTTCCCACATTACGTCATTAAGTAAGATGTCGGTCATCTGGGACCCTGCGCAATCAATTTTATTCTGAACATCTACATAGACTTCTACTGTGATCGTGGGAATTTTGGTTTAGATCTATTTGGGTTGGTCATGATGGAGGAATGCTTCAACTTTTTCCTGGTTGGTTGTTATTATTAATCTCTTTCTGCTTTTCTTCTGCTAGAGCTAGGCTATTATTGTCAGTTTTGTTTACAAATGTGTTTGAAAATGTTTACTGTACTGTTCAAATCCCCTGTTTATCACATAATTTTCAAACTTTAGTTATTATGTCCATCGATATATAACAAACATCGTGTTTGTATATCGATGATTATGTCCAAGGAACAATTTCAAATGTTTATCCCTCAAAACTATTGCAGATGTTGTGGAATAGAGAAATCATCTGGCATAGACTTAAATGTCATAAACAATGATAGATCAGATAAATTAACAAAAGTTTTATCTTTACTTCCCAAAAAGGTGAGTGTCTAGGTTGAAATGAAATATATATAATAAGCCTGTATATCTAAGTTATGTAACCAGTTTCACTATTCTTTAGACACCTTAATCTTATTCTTGACAACACAATAGGCCTACTGTAATAGGCCTAGGTTATATTATACATCAGTGAACCTGTGATAAGGGTAATTATATCGACCTCCGGACCTCACGCGAAGTTAAAAATTTCTTTTTTCAAAATAGTCGAAATTACACGCTGATTTCAAAAATGATTGTCGTTTTTTTCGGAAACGTCCCGTTTTCCCGGAAAATGGGAAAAACGGGAAAAATATATTTTGTTCAAAACCCATGTTGTGGGTACTCAAATTATGCGGAATTTTCTCCTGAACAAGAATATGTAAATTTTATTACGATCGGACCACTATTAAGTAAAATATCACCGAAAAACGGGAAAACGGGGATTTTTTTTTGCTCAAAACCCATGTTGTGGATACTCAAATTGTGCGGAATTTCATCCTGAACAAGAATATGTAGTCGATCGCTTTTAAGTAGGCCTAAAACATCACCGGATAGGTTAACTAACCTAACATAGGTTTAGATTAGGTTAGGCTAGGATAGGTTAGTTTAGGTTAGGTTAGGTTAAGTTAGGTTAGGTTAAGTTAGGTTAGGTTAGGTAAGGTTAAGTTAGGTTAGGTTGAGTTTTGTTAGGTTAGGTTTGGTTAAGTTAGGTTGGGTTAGGTTAATTTACTTACAATACTCATTTTATTGATATACTAACCCAACCTAACCTAACTTACGAAATTAGGTTTGGTTAGGATAGGTTAGTTTAGGTTAGGTTAGTATTGTAAGTAAACTAACCAGGCTAACCTAATACTAACCAAACTTAACCAAACCTAACCTAACAAAACTCAACCTAACCTAACTTAACCTAACCTAACCTATCCTAATAAAATAACCTAACCCAACCAAACCTAACCTAACCTAACTTAACCTAACCTAACTTAACCTAACCTAACCTAACTTAACCTAACCTAACCTTTTCTAAATTATCCTAACCTAACCTAAACCTAAGTTAGGTTATGTTAGGTTAGTTAACCTGTCCGGTGATGTTTTACTTAAAAGCGATAATAAAAACTACATATTCTTGTTCAGGATGAAATTCCGCACAATTTGAGTACCCACAACATGGGTTTTGAGCAACAAAAAAATATCCCCGTTTTTCAGTGATATTTTACTTAATAGTGGTCCATTTTCCGGGAAAACGGGACGTTTCCGAAAAAAACGACAATCATTTTTGAAATCAGCGTAAAATTTCGACTATTTTGAAAAAATAAATTTTTAATTTCGCGTGAGGTCCGGAGGTCGATATAATTACCGAAAAGGTTCAATATATAGATTAATTGATATATCGATTTCATTCGGTCTGTTAGGTTAGGTTTTAACCTAACCAACCAAACTTGATATATCAAATGATATAATTTATATATCAATCGATATATTCATTCGAATGAGTGTAGGACGTAAACTAAAGTGCAGCCTAAATATCAATAACCTATATCCTATATCGATTTTATCTTGGTTCGATAAGTTAGGTACCTATATCGTTTCTACAATGTACTTATATTTTTTATGTAGGCCTACATCAAATCAGGTTATGATCTGTTTAGGCTCTACGTGTTATAGATGTTTAATAAATGAAACTATCAATTGGCTATTCAACCATAAAATAAATAGCCTAGCCTATATACCTACTTAGCATTATGAAAGTTACAGTTATACAGTAGCTTAGAACCTTGATAACCAGACTCTCATGGCGATTATAAAATAAGTCTGGTTATCAAGAATGGCCTCTTATTGAGGTTCGCAATAAAATGTGTTTTAAGGAAAATAAATTTGAGGGGATTATCGAGGGAATTCTTATCGAGGTTCCACTGTATTATGAAAACAAACAATAAGTCTTAATTTAGGCCTATTTAACTAAAACTTATAAGTTTAAATATAGGCTATAATAGCTACGGCATAGCCTACAGTTCAGAAATGTATGGTTTCTTCCGTTTTTAGTGGTTCAAATTTAAAACAAAACTTACCAGTAGGTTAAAATAAAGAAACAATTTTATGAATTCTTTTGTTTTTAGCGAATTTCCCATAGGCTATAGGGAATAAGCTATTACCGTAGTACTCATGGTAAGACCTGGACGCGGGACCGTTTTTTTTTTTTTTTTTTTGAGGTCCCTAGAGGCAAAAAAACACTATCCGTTCAAAATTCATATACCTCAATATATATATATGTCCGTTAGCACCATAACTCAAGCAAAAGTGATCCGATTTTAATGAAATTTGGTATAAACGTGTAAACCTACATTTATTGGAACGAGTTCGCAAACCAGCATGATCAAACTATGGGAACGGGGTTTTATGGGGTAAAAATAGGGTTTTCCCATTTTTGAGCCAAAAAACGTAAAATTTAGCAATTTCTTTCCAAACCATTTTGTAGAGCTTAAAAAAATATTTAGTATATTGAAGAGTTATTATGCGCCTAAAATGGTTACGGAGAAAATTCAAAAATACCCCCGTCGCAGCAAACCTGCAGACTAAGCGAATTTCCATTTGCCTAATTGGATTTACACTAAAATGTCTACTTAAAAATATAACATTTATTTCCTATTTAAATATAATTAGTTTAACAAGTACTTAGGTTTGCTGCATCAGGGAGGGTAATTTTTTTAATGTTAATAGTTAGTAAGAAATAAAAAACATTTTCCAAATTTGATCAAAATATGTTCATAAACAAGCAAACTACAACAGTTTACTTGTTCTCCATAAGAATAACATGAGAATTATAAATTTTAATTTTTTTGGATTTTTTTCCGTAACCATTAGGCGCATAATATTTTCTTTGACTCTTAGGCGGCTATTGTCGGATATCGAACACGAAAAGTGCATAACTATTTGTTTTTTTAAGCTCTACAAAATGGCGTGGAAAGAAATTGCAAAATAAACTTATTATGTTTTTTGGGTCAAAAATGGGAAAAACTCATTTTTACCCCACAAAACCCCCCCGTTCCCATGATCCGATCATGCTGGTTCTCGAACTCTTTTGAATAAATGTAGGTTTACATGTTTGTACCAAATTTCATCAAAATCGGATCATTTTTGCTCGAGTTATCGTGCTGACGGACACATATATATATGAATTTGAACGGATGGTGTTTTTGGCCTCTGGGGACCTCAAAACGAAAAAAAAATCGGTCCCGCGTCCAGGTCTTACCATGAGTACTACGGTAATAGCTTATTCCCTATATGGGAAATTCGCTAAAATTGCAAATTTATAATTCCCATGTTATTCTTATGGAGAATAAGTAAACTGTTGTAGTTTGCTTGTTTATGAACATTATTTTGATCAAATTTGGAAAATGTTTTTATTTCTTACTAACTATTAACATTTTACAAAAAGAAAAACGGTTTTACCCTCCCTGATGCAGCAAACCTAAGTAGGCCTACCGTACTTGTTAAACTAATTCTATTTAAATAGAGAATAAATGTTATATTTTTAAGTAGACATTTTAGTGTAAGTCCAATCAGGCAAAAGGGAATTCGCTTAGTCTGCAGGTTTGCTGCGGCGGGGGTATTACAGTAAACTTATCATACAGTAAAATTAAAAGTAACTGTTATAGCGATCACTGACGTCACGTTAAAATAGTATATGTTTTACTATTGACTTATGACGCTAAATAACTTCCTGAATTTGATAAAAACTTTATTTAGTTACTTCGGCTAGTATATCAAAACACATTTGAGGTACGGTAGGCTTATTTAAATTGTGCTGAATGCGATTAACTTAATTTATGTTACTAAAATTTTTTTCCATACTCTATAATTGAAAAATTGGGTTAAATGTTAACAAAACCCAGCTTTAGCCAGGACTTATAATTAAAAGCCCGGATAGACTTCCATATCTGTTGTAAAAAACAACGGAATGAAAATATCGATCAATATATAGATTATTCGATATATCGTTTGGTTAATTAGGTTAGGTTATTCTAGCTGATCTCCACAACTAAAATGGAATTGTAGTCTTTTTTTATAGTAGCCAAAATGATGGGAGAGAAAATATTTGCTTTCGCCAAGTATAGATTGTACTAAGTTATGTGATTAAGTTTCTGTGGGAAAGGGTCCAACTTCAAAATTAAATTCATTGCCTATTTACAGATGTGTATGTGCAGAAAAGTGTTTAGACAAAGAAAATGTGCATGGCTTTTATGGAGTTTGCAGAAGGTCGTACACATTTAGGCAAAGAGGCCTGCAGCGTGTTTCACCAGTTTCAGAGACCGTGATAAAGGTTGAGGATATTTTGCTTTCTGATCAGGGTGCTCAAAAATACTAAGATTTATCATAGCCATAGCCCTTGATAGACTTATAGAGACACCCTCATCAGTTTGGCAATCTTTAAAAAAAGATTCATACTTGGGAAAAGTGTATATTATCATTGACTATATAACACTACTAGATTGAAAGCCCCATGCATTTGGTTGTGAACAAGCAATCAGCACACTCTGGCGGGAAGGGGCGATCATAGCGCTGACGTCACTGACCAGTAGGTGCTGCCACGATGTGGCGGGCAATGAAAACATAGTGCTGTCTGCTGTTACGACGCAATGTACAGACAGCCGACAGCTGAGCCATGCTACCAGCGCCCACGTGACTTGCCGGAACTGCACATCCGCTCCCCGCTCGCCTCGAATTCGTGTTGAGAAGTGCAAGTGAAGCGCGACTGATCATTAATTTAACTGCTTCGCTAAGAATCTGAGATATTAGACAGGGACTCGTATCGTAATATTTATCGTGATATTTTACTGGTTAGTGAATTTGATTGATAAAAAAGATGTCCTGTTATATAGTCAATGATATTATCCTTTGTAGTTATTTTTTGTGTAGTTTTTGGCTTTCATGAAAAGAGCAATTAATTGTTGCATAGGTGTAAGAAACAGCTTGAATAGTGGTGGATAAAGTCTACATTATGGCGCTGATGTCAAATTTGAACTAACTTGCTTGGCCGCAACAGGAGCTCAGTGGAGACACCCCTTGTTGAAGCTTAAGTCTTTAAATCTATCCATAAGAACAGATACGGTACTGGATTTAAAAGCAACAATATGGTATTAGTTAGGCCCTATCCATAGCCTCTCTTAACTGTTGAGATCATACACTCATTTTATTCTGTCTGTTTTAGGTTATAAATATTACATCAAGCGACAAGCTAACAAAGTTTGTTTGTGTCGACTGTGAGATGACTCTTCATCACTTCGGTGACTTTTGTGAAATGATCAAGAAAGTTCAGAAAACACTCAAGTCTCGTCTCAAATCAGCAGAGGTTGATAAAAACAATCAGGTTAACACAATCAACTTAAATAGAACGCAGAGGATACGCGTCCGGTAACCGAACGTGGATTAGGCGACCGGCAATGATGTCACCGGGTTGTGGGGGCCCGGAGCACCATTACCACAACGATACGATGTACAGCCAACGGAGTTTGTGGTGTAGTGGATAGAGTACTCGGGTGATGAACTAGGTACTAGATCGAATCCCATCGGTTACATTAACTTTTTGTCAAAGATTTGGCTTGGAATGCCATTTATTCGTAACTGTTCATCTTTTGTTAGAATTTGAGGCATTTATAATTTTATTTTATGAACAGAATTTAACCTTCATTCGATTTTAGCGAATTTCCCATGTAGGGAATAAGCTATTACCATAGTACTCATGGTAAGACCTGGACCCGGGACCGACCATTTACTTTTTCGTTTTGAGGTCCTAGAGGCCATAAACACCATCCGTTCAAATACATACATATATATACATATATACACATATATACACATATAGGCCTACAAGTCATAATGGTAGATCATGCTGGTTTGCAAACTCGTTCGAACAAATGTAGGTTTACACGTTTATACCAAATTTAATCAAAATCGGATCATTTTTGCTCGATTTTCATGGTAACGGTTTGGTATAAACGTTTAAACCTACATTTATTCGAACGAGTTTGCGAACCAGCATGATCAGACTATGAGAACGGGGGCTTATGGGGGGTTTTACAGTAAAAATATATTTTTCCCATTTTTACCCTAAAAACAAAAAAATCACAATTTCTTTCCAAACTATTATGTAGAGCTTAAAAAACAAGTAATATAGTATGTTGAAGCGTTATTGTGCGCCTACTGGTTACAGAGACAATCCAAAAAATTTTAAATTTAAAATTCCCATGTTATTCTTATGAAAGATAAGTAACTGTTGTAGTTTGCTTGTTTATGAACATATTTTGATCGAATTTGTAAAATACATTAATTTCTTACTGAACTATTTACATTTTACAACAAAAAACACTTGTTTACCCTCCCTGTTGCAGCAAACCTAAGTACTGTACTCGTTAAACTAATTATATTTAAATAGGGAATAAATGTGATATTTTTTAGGAGGCATTTTAGTGTAAATCCAATCAGGCAGATGGAATTCGCTTAGTCTACTGGTTTTGTGGTGAAATGCAGTAGTATGAGTGTTAATAAAAACATCTGGGCCCAATATATCTTCCACTAACCACTACTAAATCACACACATTTCCTGTCATAGTTCAAACTCTATTTGGAAAGAACTTAACTACCCCGTCAAAGTAATAATAATAATAATAATAATAATAATAATAATAATAATAATAATAATAATAATAATAATAATAATAATAATAACAACAACAATAATACCTTAGCTGCCTATCACAGCCAGCTTTTATGTTATTTAATACATCTAATTATGACTTATTCTACTCATTCTAAGGCCGGCCGCACACCTAATACAGCACGGCGCGGTGAAACGGTTAGTTAGGTTAGATTATGACAGTAACTGCCGGAGGCCTAATCAATGCCCGGTTACCGGACGCGTATCCTCTGCCTAGATAGAAAGTTTAAATATCAACCAATTAATTGTTGGTTTTTAACATTAAATTTAAATTTCCCATGCAGTAGGTAATTGAATTCAGGCGAATCTCATACAAAACCTGTGAAAAAATTTTTTGGTTGTGACACAAAACCCCTTGTGATGTTTAATAAAGTTAAATACTACAAGCAAATTGCCGGATGCTGTATCAGACCTTATTTATCAAGATGGACTTACCACATTTTCTGACTTTTCCGATGTCCTGTATGGTTTTCAAAGGCAGAGGGAGGTCATTCAAAAAAAAGTGTTACTGCATTGAAGTGGAAGTTTTTCTGGAAGAAAGTGGTTGAGTGTCGTGGTAACGAAAGATTGAAATTGTTGCGGAGAGGATAACTACGGATACTTGAAGAGCTATATGATTATTGGTTTTTCTTAATAAATAATAATGTTTCAAAAATTTAAATGGAAGGGAAAGTTAGAACTTTGTGTGATCTGAAGACGTCTTTGCAGGATTGTCGACGGTGAAGGGAACAAAAGGTCTGGAGAGCCTTTTTTTGGAGCTTGAATATCAAAACATTTTTGAAATGATCATTTACCACTAGCCGTATGTGGCAACTACTTCAACAAAACTCATTACTTTTATCGTAGAATTTCAGAATCCTAGAATGTTATTATCATTGCAAGTAAGTTCTATCTACTTGCTAAGTTTTAACATGTCTATTTGTCATCCGCAGGAGAAGCCACAGAAGAAGACAGACTGTCATGTAACTGGTGTCTCGTCCACAACATCTCCTGTAATCATCTCCGTCAGCAAGGAAGGTCAGTTGAGATGCGAGGACTGCCACAGCTCCCTGGCCACTAGTCAACTGATCACCCTTCATATGCTGACTCATGGACTCGGGTCTGTGCTATGCTCTTGTAAACACTGTGGTCACCGCGACGAGATCGGAGCTTTCCTGCAGCACAACAATGAGGTTGGTTTACATTAAAAAACCAGTGCTTTGACTATAGCTTTTGAGAAATATAAACATGACAATCGGGTTAAGTAACTTGCTAAATTATTTTTACCAATTCCACCAACTAATCAAATTGTAAAGTTACAGGCAGAACAGGTAACATCTATATAAGACGCCATCTATATAATGACGCCATTCGTGCACACTGCACATGTTTGCAAATTATGAATAAAGTTTATTTCATTTCATATTTATTTATGAATACTATTGACTTTTGGCTACTGAAGGTTTTCTATCAATACTCAAAGATAATACAATTTTTTACTTTACTTAAGCATTGATCGGTGACGAAGGGAAGGGCTTTTGTATTTATTAAACCCAGTTAATTGTGCTTCGGATTCATCCATACATGTATAGCAAATATATAAAATTGCCCCCTAAAATAAATTTAAACTTGCGTACCTGTAACCATTTTTTTAAGTCACCTGGGCGAAACAGCTTAGGGAATAAGTAGCCTAGAGGATGGTTGTAAATCGTAATGAATTTCCTTTATAATTAATACGTACATTAATTTTCTTTATGCTTTTAGGAGCTTTTAATTGAAAGAAGCAGCCTTTCATTACAAAACCAATTAATTTTAGCAGCGTAGATAACACCGCAGCAGAAGTCTGTGGCTCATGACTAGCCCAGGTTATTTTATGTTACATCTGTTAAATTCTTTTAACAACATAACCCAGAAACAATATCGGGAATTAATTAGCTTTAAATTAGGAGATGATGATGGTCAATAAATGGTTGAATGATGAATCCATATTGTCTAGGCTCAACCAAAATACTGTGCATAATGACCCTGGACAAACCCGACTAATCACATCCAAAGATTAACTTTTTACGTGAACATTTTAAACCCGTCTTGATAAAATAATGCATCATACCAAGTCACTAAAAACACATCTATAGGGATTGTGTTTTGGGTCATAAATTGATTATTAGTGTAGTAGAGTTTCAATTATCTAACCTTTGGTTATCCATTCTTCTATGTTACCTGACCCTCAAGTTTCGTCTGGTTTTGGACTGCGGCAGTATATCTGCTTTAAGTGTGAGACCATGACTACAAGTCCAGAGTCTTGTGTCCAGTGATTAGCATTTCCAGATTAATCAGTCATAACAAAATATTTTTGTACTGATCATTTATCACTAGCCGTAGGCATATGTGGAATTAGTGACAACAACTCCAATAAAGCTCATTATCCTGTCAATACCTGTACCTTAGAATTAAACGGTCCCCGGCTCAGGTGGGAGCTGGCTTGAAAGAATCCCAGATAAAATATGATGCTCGGTTGTGGGGAAATTAGAAATAAGTTCTTCAAAAGCTTTGTCCTCATATAAAACAATATCAGAGTTCATCAACTAAACGTGCAGATAAGTAGAAAAGCACATGATCATCCGTATCAATTTTCCACAGAGGAGATAACAATTACCAGGTGATATCTTGGCCTCGTACAAGCAATGATAGGAACTGATCCAATGCAAATGCAATCGGCTGAGCATAAGGCTGCCAGGCGCAAACTGTGCAGCATTCAACTGCAGCAAGGTCAGGTGCTAGAAAGAACTACAACAATGACTATGAACCCTGGGGGCAATACAATTGTAGCCTAGAAGGTGGGGGCTTTTCACATGTGTAGTCATGGAACCACAGGCCTTGTCCACTGTAGTCGGCACATTATTCCTAGACCATCTCTAGGGAATTTGGAGACATTGGTGCCTCCCTGTAGTACCAGGAAGAGGAACTTACTGTCGTTGTTCAATCATAAAAAAATATAAGGACATTGGGACCTTATTGCATACCCTCAGACTGCGGTTCCCAAACCTTTATAAATGGGGACCAACCTGCAACCTGTTCATTCTTTCCCAAACCACCTATCAAATAATATGATATCAGATTATCCTGAATTCTAGTACACATTTTCTGTCCTTCATCTTCTTTTCTTCTCTTTTCTTTGGTCTCTCTGCAGGCCTTGATTTCCATCTCATTCTGTTGATGTTGATAGTTATTTCTCCAGTTTATCCTTCTCAAAGCGCCCAGTTTTAGTTAGTGTTTTATTCTTCTGACCTTCAATAGTTTGTTATAACATAGGCTGCTTTGTCTAAGTAATTTTCTTCTCAGGATTGATATTTCTTGTGATGAAGCCTCTACAATATTAGACCCCTATGCTGCCATGAAAATCCTTGTTATGTATAACGACGTGGTTGCTTTAACTGTAGCAAGGAATGTAGAGTAAATAAAATTCATGCTTTGTCTAATAATGGTGAGAACAAGTAAAAACATTTACCTGTTTTGGTGCTCAATTCCTAATGAGTTAATTTATCTTGTGAAGACCCATTTCAGCCGTTCAACGTTTTAAAAATTAGCCCATCCCAACCAAGCTCTAGGCCTACTACAGACAGGTTAACTTCTCATGAAAAGCGCACTAAACCTGACCAAGACGGATTTGAACCCCTAATTTACTGTGCTTTCCCCTGACCAACACCCAAACTGCTCGGTCATTGCATTAGTGCTGCTTGAGCTCTAAGAGTTTATGTAAACATGCTTATCCGCGACATATAAAACTAATGAATTAGTTTAATTGTTTACTAGGGACACAATTAATTATAACAATTATGTGGATGCTTTTTACTTTCTCCCCCTATACATAATTATAGACAAAATAGTGCTCCCCAATGCTGTAAAAAATACGGTTCAAACAAAAGTCATTGTAACAAATGTTATTTTCCCATAAAAACCCATAAAATAAGGGAAAATCAGACTTAAATAAAAATGCCAGTTTTGATTAAAATTAGTATATTATAGATGGTCCTTGATTAAAAAAAATAGTGCAAACCACCATTGCTGTTAAAAGTGTCTGTTCAAAAGCTATTTATTGTAACTTATGCCATTTCCCCATAAAAACCCATAAAATAAGCAACTTCTTGATCAGCATCTATGTATTATTAAATTACTTGAAAGCACAAAAAGTACGTTAAATAACACTCATTATAAATTATAAGTGTTATTTGACGTATTTTTTGTGCTTTCAGATAAAATAAACAACCTATATGAAAGTTTTGCTTAAAAAGCTATTCCTAGCTAAAAGCTATCCCTATAAAATATCATAGTTACTCCCACCGCTTACCCATGATAAAATTTGTTGACAAGCTAATGGTAGAAAGTATGTATGAGATTGCTAATACCGTTTATTTCTGTTCTAGCTGTAAAACAGGTGTAATATTATAGATTGAAGAAAAATATTTACTTTGTGGTTTTTAGTGACATCTGATATTTTTCAGGTTAAATGCCCTCGGTGTCCATTTGCCACCTTTCAAGAAGACAACGTCGTCGCTGACTCGGATAAATCTTCGAATGGGAGTCTCGTGTGTGAAGTGTGCAGTGCGAGGTTCCGTACCAAATATCGTCTTAACCGACACAAACTCATTCATGTGGGAGTGAAGCCTTTCTTGTGTGAGACTTGTGGTATGAAGTTCAACCAGAAGATAAGTTTGAAACTTCACGTAATGAAGCACTCCAAAACGGCCCCTCATACTTGTCAGTGGTGTGGTCAATCTTTCCGGTTTAAAGTGTCGCTGCAATCACATTTTATAAATATACACGGAAACACGTCGCAGTCGGGGACCAAGATTGAATGTGACCAATGCCAGAAACAGTTTGCCACCTCGTACAAGCTGAGGAGACATTACCGTCTACACACCGGGGAGAGACCTTATTCCTGTCCGGTCTGCAACAAAGGTTTTTCACAAACCGGGAACTTGAAAATCCATTTGAAAAAACATAAAGAGAACTCCGATTCTTTCCCGGGGACTTTCAATGCGGAGTTGTTGGAAAGTGATCAGATATTAGACACTATTTTGGATTCTTGCCCACAAGGAAAACAGTTTTTGGATTTGCCCTCTGAGGGGCAGCCTGGCTACAACTTGGTTGGAGGTGGGAATGTGGACAAACATAGTACAGCAGATCTCTTTTCAGACTTTAACCCTCAAGATGTCCTTTTCGATAACACTCCCATTCTCCCCCCACCCACCTCTAACACACCTATAATTCTACCAAATTTCTCAAGCATACAAGGTGGTACTTCGGACATAAATTTATAATATATCCATTTTTTTTACTTTGAAAATGGCCTTAGTATCGAAACCTGGCTGATATAATTTTACATGATTTTATGCTAAAAAGGTTATTCAGTTTATTAATGTTCAATCTTTTAGTAGCCCTATTACTCTATTTTTCAAATTACTAATCTAGGTTGGTTATTTAACTTAATAATAGCTCTCAACCGAATTATAACTAAATACGAGGGTCGTCCAGAAAGTAAACAACGAATGCGCATCACGTGCGGTGCAGATCCCCCACCACTGAGATTACGTGCTCGGCCGCTTACCCCTTCCTTTCTCTTCAGTGTGAGGTGAGTCTCGTTGCTGTGCGGTCACGCTACTTGTTTTCGAAGCGTTTTAAAATGGCGGCGCTAATAAAAAATCCCGCCAAATGTGAAGTATGGAGTGTAATCCGCTTTTTTAATGCTCAAAAAGTTAAACCCATTGAAATTTACAGGCAGATTAAAGCTGTCTATGGTGAAGATGTGATGAATGAGTTGTCAGTAAGAAAGTGGTGCATCATGTTTAACCAAGGAAGGACTAAGGTGCCTGATGAAGATCGGAGTGGGAGGCCATCACTAGTCACGGATGAACTGAAGCAAAAAGTTGAAGAAAAGATTTAGGAAAACCGACGTTTTACTTTGATGACTTTACATGACTCTTTTCCACAAATTTCACGATAACTCCTACATGAGATAGTGACAGATCACCTTGGTTATAAGAAAATGTGTGCTCGGTGGGTGCCTAAGATTTTGACGGACGACCATAAGGTGAAACGCATGGGGGCAGCCCTTGAGTTTTTGACTCAATATGACAAAGATGGGGACCAATTTCTTGATCATAATGTTACAGGATATGAAACATGGGTTTTGTATAAGAGTCCAGAAAATAAGCCTCAGTCAATGGAGTGGCATCACGCAAATTCACCCTCAAATCCCTAAAAGGAAAAACCATTGTTGCAGACTTGCAAAGTCATGGCAACGGTTTTTTGGGGCCGGAAGGGATTAATCCATGTAGATTTCATGCCACAAGTTGCAACAATAAACTCAGAATCCTACTGTGAGGCTCTTCAACGACTTCGACGTGCCATCCAAAACAAGAGGCGTGGAATGCCGTCGGCAAAAGTTCTTTTCATTCACGACAATGCCCGGCCTCATGCCTCAGCACAAACGCGGCAAGAACTCCAATGTCTGAAGTGGGAAATCTTTAGTTATCCTCTCTACAGCCCTGACCTAGCACCTAGTGATTTTCATCTGTTTCCAAAGTTGAAGGAGTTTTCAGGTGGAAAACAGTTTGGAAATTACAATTAACTTAAAGATGCAGTGATAACATGGCTCAAATCTTTTGCGGCTGACGAGTATAACATCGGAATTGAAAAACTGGTCCCATGTTACAACAAGTGTCTCGACAACAATGGCGGTTAAGTAGAAAGGTAGAATAAGGTACTGTGGCTTTGTAATAAAGTTTAGTGTTGATATCTTTCGTTTTTATTGAACCATGCTAAAACGTTCTTTACTTTATGGACGACCCTCGTAGTATTTTAAGATTTAAAACATGTTCTACACTTAGGCCAATTCCTTATGTATATAATATATACAAAAATGAATGTGGAATAAGTCGAGCCACAGAAAGTATTTAGTGGTCTAAAATTTGGAGTAGAGTTTCTGACAAGTAAATATCAGTCATTTGAGATCTGTTGACATGTTTGTATCAATAATGTATGAATTTAGTCTTAATGTTTTCCTTAAGGGTATGATTATTTTACCCATCCCGCTTTGTACCTTTGTAGCTTTGTGTTATTTAGTGTATATTTGTATTACAGTAAAAATCATAGGTACCGTAACTTATTTCTAGTTTTTATCATAAGAAACCCTACATTCTTATTGTTAAGTTCTTATAAATAGCTTCACTGTCCATTCACCACGCCTCTTTTAAGAACTTAAAAGTAAATAATAAAATAAGTAAACAAAAATGTAAACAAACAAACTATATTGTCAATTGCATTGGCCAGCTGTTGTTCACTAAATTAATCAAATAATAACTTCCAAAACATGCAAGGCGTAGCCTTTTGGAAATCAGCCTGTGGGGCAGAGCCCTTAGGAAGTTCGTCCATATCAATACTTTTCGGCAAATCTACACACTCTAAGCTTCATTTTGATATGCCATATGCCTATATTTTTATTTGGTAAATGGCCTTAACCGTTTACATAAAATTTGATTGTATCAATTTAATAATATAATAGATTCTATCCTAAATAACTTCTTGATCAGCAGCATCGTACGTGTTATTAAATTACCTGAAAAAACAAACAAATTGTACGTCTAATAACAGTAGTAATAATATTTTTACACTTATACTGTTGAATCACAAGATGGTAAATACATATGAAAGATGGTAAGTGGTGATCGATTTCGATTGGACACTTCAATCATCATCAGACCCAATAGGCGAATGACAAGAATAAAAATGGCGTCCCTTATATACTATTGGCTACCGGAAGTAATAAGTAAGTAAGTAATAATAAGCAATAAGTTTCTATTAGTACAACTAGAGTCAAAAGTTACTTGCTCATTAATTAGCTTATGTCTAGTTTTACATTTTTCCCTGTCAATCTATATATTAATTTGAAACTGTTTTTCTTTGTCATAGCTAAATTGAGAGAACGGCTGGGTGTAGAAACTCGGTAGAGGTGTCTAAAGAAAGGTCCTGGTCTGTAGATGAGCCATCAAAAGAGAAACATGGAGAATTCCCTCGGGGCTCCGCCCCAGTGGCCTTTAAATTCCCATCCCATGTTATTCTTATGGAGGAAAACGAGGTTTTTGTCACAGCTAATTTGAGGGAACGGCTGGGCGTAGAAACTTGGTAGGGGTGTCTAAAGAACGGTATTGGTCAGTAGGTGAGCCCTCAAAAGAGAAACGCGGTAAATTTCCTTGGGGCTCTGTCCCAGAGGCATTTAAAGTTCACTCTGCAATTTTGTTTACATTATGACCATATGGATAATTTTACACTACTTTAATGAACCAGCTGTTAATATTAAAATTGTATTCAAAGGTCTACTGAAACTGTCAAAATTAAATGCTTACATTATCATTATTTATGATTTTAAATGGATTCTCCACTGCATGGCAAGTTTTTTATAGTTTCAACAAAATGATGAATTTATGATACGTTTTAAATGTTTTGTTCAAAAATCTATGCTTTATTGCTCTTAGAAAATTTTAAATTATGAAATAAGTGTGATATATCAATTTCAAAGGAACATATAATTGTTCCTTATCGGGTTAGCTTATATCATTGACTATACACCTCTACCAAGAGGTAGAGGTGTATAGTCAATGCTTATATATATATTGTAAGGTTGGCACTTGCTTTTTTTTCCTACTTTCAATCACCATTTATTTTTAAATTCAATAAAGAACACCAGATATTCATTTATTGGTATAAAAGTTTTTGATATTCGGTTTGAAAATTGTGTCATAGATGAGTACGTTGAGGATGAGAGCTGTGTTTAAGTTTTGGAATAGACTAACTACGGAGTATGTTTCATCTATGGTTTTGGTGAAGTAGGTGAACTAATGTCAATTCAGGTGTTTAAAAAAAATGTGTACACGGTTTTTACTTTGATGTACACATGTAGCTAGGTCGAACAACGCATCTAAACCTCACTACATACAAAACATTCGGAAACACAACAGTGTCATCACATCTCATTGCATTTGCATAATTTGTTACCAAGGCTGGACTAGGTTATGGATTTGGTTCCGCAAATGTTCAAGATTTGTGATCAAATTTCCTACAATTATGGTTCATTCCATCCACGAAATACATGCACAGCTTTATGTTATCGATATGGCCAAGGCAAAACTACCCCATAAGTTAATGAATTATCAAGTGAGAACAGGATGATTAAATACATGGGTCGATGTGGCAAGAGAACAAATTAAAATTGCTGAGATCGTAGTAAGAATGTTACTGTTTTCTGGAGAAACAGATATTTTTATCAAATACAAAAAACTGATTTAATATGCTGATAGAATTCTGTATTTTTATGACCAAAGATGAAGATTTACTTATAAATCCGGATACAATCTGAATGATTTTCCTAAAGCAGATGGAATTGGTTAGTAATACTATTGACTCTTTCCGTAACATGATAGACTAATTATATGAACTCATTCTCCCATATAGTGAAAGTGGCTCTGGCATGAAACAAACTCATGAACAAACAATTATAAGACTCCTAAAAAACCTTTTGGGCAACCTAAATCCGATAAAAAGGTAGGAAATATTGTCTTAAACGAATCCATCAATCACGTTTTTAGGGAACACAATCGTCATACTTATTATTGCTTATCCTCCCTTCATTTAACTAAGATTTTAATGACTTCATTCTATCCATCGCAGTTAGCTGAATTTACATAAAACCTCAAGATTAACCGTCGATTTCGACGGGGTTCCACTAGTATACAATTATTCCCAAGCATTCATCACATTTCCTTTCTTCTTACAATTCTTTAAAATACATACATTGTCTTCCATTTTCCCTAATGAGTGGCAATTTTGTAACAAGTGTTGTGCGACATTTGATCTTTCTGGTTTGTTGTTTATCCAAGCAGAAATACCTATGATTTTTTTAAACGTTTAATAAAGTTTACAGTTTGTCCAATGTAAACATACCACAATCGTTACAACTTATTTTATAGATGCCTGAAGCGTCAATTTTTTTACAATCTTCTGTATTAGGATGCAATATTTTACTCAAGGTGTTCTGAGTCCTGAAGGCCATTGATACTCCATATTTCTTGAACTTGTTAGCGATCCTTTGTGTCCTGGGTCCTGTGTAACTAAATGTAACATATGTTTTGTTTTCTACTTTTATTTCTTCCAAAGTTGTTCTGCTGTGTAATCTTTTGGCTCTCTATTTCTCGTCTCGTCTTCTTACCAATCTCATCTGTTGTTTTAGCGTGAAATCCGTTGAAACAATCTTTCATATGTATTTACCGTCTTGTGATTCAACAGTATAAGTGTAAATATGTTATTACTAGACGTATGATTTGTTTGTTTTTTGAAATTCTATCCTAGTAAACAAATAGGACCAACATCTTTAAAAAATTTAACCACAAGCATGTTTTCAAAGCAAGAGATGTGAGCTCTGCACTCTGATCAGTGTGTTGAGTAGAGAGAGGGATCTTCATGGTACTATTTACAGAGCTCCCAGAATACTCTGTCTGCAATCTCTGGTTGAAGCACAGAGGGCATTAGCTTCAGATTCCTTACTCTCCACAGACCAATGTAACCCTCTAGGCAATTAGAAGTTGAGCTAAAGGATTTGAAAATTAAAAATGGGTTGCATGTTTCCTAGGTTAATCTGTAATAAAATTTGGTCTGTATAACTTCTCTCTAAAAATGTAACTGAAACATAGTTTACATTAGGTGATATATATTATCTGCTACTCATAATCATCATATATTATTTTCTATTTAAAAGAAAGAAGGAATATTTAAAAGATTTGATCACATTTGTTTAGATGGATGTTAACCCTAATAAATTCCTAATATTCTTGTGAGGAATTTCACAAAGATTCCAAATATTACAATAAATCCTATTTACATATAATTTTCAATGCAGCTTTTGCTATTAATCAAATACATGTTATATTAAAGAAAATGCAACTTTAGCCATTACATGTTTTTCAAGAGAAACTCTTAGATTTAAAAACAAAAATTCAAAAAAGCAGGATTTTTTATACATTATTTTAAAGATTATTGATTGAGGAAGTTTTTAGTAGTATTTTGACACTCTCTACAGTCCAGAGTAGCATATAAAACCCTAGGTGAAAATTAATAATGTTTTGTAAAAAATCAGAAAGTCAAACTTCCATTGCAGAATAAGGGCTTACAGATGTTAAATCTCAATGACTTTCTAGTAATTATTATTGTAAATCTAATGAGGATTCTGAAAATGACAATTACCTTGAAATATAACCTTTCTTTAGTGCACTTGTGGTCACTTTATCTAAGCAATTACAAATATATTGAACAAATCTATTTTTTTTCTGTTAATGTCTTTCTATGAGGATATAGAAACTTAAATTGGTGTATTTTTTTAGTGGTGCCATTTTGTTAGTAATACCATTTACTATTGGATACTGAAGGTAACACTTAAATAAAAATGTTTATCACTAACTTCTTTCCGCCACAGGGTACAGATATAAATCCTGATATGGCACCAGACAGAATGATTTATCATTTCATATGATTCAAACCAAATAAAAATTGATATTCAAAAGTTATCTCAAAGTCTGATTCACAAATAAGTGTACTACTCAAGCTATACACATAAGTTTTTCCCATTGCCAACATTAAAATTATGGTTGATCATCAGCCCCATATCAAGTTGTGAAAACCTACTACAACATGGATGCAGACTCTTTAATGATTCAGAGCTGTGAAATAAAAAAATGAACCAATGAAATCAAATGAAATACATATGAACAAGTGAAAAAACAAAACAAATGTGTTTGTAGCTTGACAAATGAAAAAAAGTTATTGTCCTAAGAGCGAGATATCCTATATTGTATCTTATAATATATCTTATATTTATTTTATTGCATTGCACTGGGTTGAATAGACTGTATTTGCAACACACAAAATGGGACTTAATGCATCCGCTCTGGACTGAGAATAAATCCACATCATCACGAAATTAAAGATAATGTAGACTGGTAATATGCACTCTAGAGAAGATGGTCTTGGAAGAGGTTTCATTGGAGAAGGCTTAGGCCTAAGGCCAAGCAAGCTATAAGCAGGCCCGTCTCTGGGCCTGAGGCCAAG